GTTAATAACCTTGTCATACAAAGGGGGTAGCTGTCATCAAGACTGGAGTGGTCCCTAACTTCTTTAGCCAGGCCTGTTCTTTGCAAGCATAAGTTAAAAGAGATAAAGCCCTCTGTACATTTAGAGCCCAGAACTGAGGTGCAAGATTAGCCTTTGTTTCTTATCAGCCAGCAGGACTGATCTCTCACTCCTCAACAGTCATCTTCCTGACCCTTCAGCAGTGGGCCAGTGGCTGGTTTTTGTCCTGGACTTGCGCTGGAGGAAGACAAGGGAAGCTTTGGGTGTGGATTCTAAGGGAGCACCATCAGAAATCATAGTTATCACTGTCAATATTTTGAAAATTCAAACTGAATGCACCCAATATCTTCAAGGAACAAAATATCCAAATTTTTTGTAAGGGCAGGATCCAACAGGGTGGGTTGGGAATGGGGGGAGGAAAGGAGGCGGAGTCAGGCCATTGCAGGGTCACAGCACCTTCCTTGCCTTCCGCTCTTCTGACTTTGGTTACATGTCCTGTGGGGAGTGGCTGTGAACTATAGGCTCTGACTTGGTTCCGTTGTAGTTCATTGAGGTCATTTAATAGGGGATTTCAATTAGGGACCGAGCAAGTCATGAACACGTTCCCTGGCTTCAGTTCCACTCTCTGAATAATGAGGGCTAGACTAGACAGAAATCTGTTTGTTCCGTCACATGGTGGGAGCCATCCCAGCATACACCCGCAGAACCCAGCACCTCCTGCGTGCAAATTGAGGGGCGTCCTTCACCAGAGGGCTTAAGATGTTCTCTCAAATAGTGTTTATTAAGAAACACAGAAAGAAAATCTGTTCTTTTGGTAAATATTTAAATAAATCATCTTGAGTGGTAGTTAAACTAAAAATATATTCAGTTACTGGCTCATGGAACCATTTTGAGTTTCCATAGATCTGAGTCTTTGCTGTTTTATTATTAAACCTTTTGTGGTCTCCAGAAGTGGAGGAAACAGAAATTTATTGGCTTCCTCAATGCTTTGATTGATTCAGTTTCCTATCCTCTCCCCTCCTCATTGCTTATTGTCTCAGATTTTTAAAAATGGAAATTCTCACAACTGGTACCTTTACTGCAGAGTATTTAGTATAGTGGTTTTTAAGTAAATTTTATACAGCTGTTTTTGTTGGTGGGCTTATTTGACAAGATTAGGCATTTGTACCTTCAAAATACTCCTCACCAAAGGATTGTTCTGTGAATACAGTGCGGTGTTTTAAGTGGAGCTACTGTGGACAGGAGGAAGAGGGGTTTTCTGATTTTTTTTTTTCCACCTGAGGTGTGGTTTGATCTGAAAAATGAAATAAATCTATCTACATTGAAATTTTAACATAAATTAAGGTATTCATTGCCATTCACTTGATTTAACAAAAAGATGGTTTGTAAAATTCTTTGCAAAGGTATGATTTCGGAATTGCTGTTGTATTTCTGTCTGAGCAGAGTCCACAGGGGAAAAAAAGAAAATTGAAGAAAAATTTTTTAAATTACTGTTTGTAGACTACCCAGTCACCATAATATTTTTTAATGAAAATCCAAGAAGTGTTGATATATGATTTTATCGCATAACCTGTGATTTAGCAAAGTTACATGTTTCATTATTTAACATTTAAATTTTTCTTTTCCTTTTTTTTTTTTTTTTTTTCAAATGGAGACAGTCTCACTCTGTTCCCCAGACTGGAGTGCAGTGGCGTGATCTTGGCACACTGCAACCTCCGCCTTCTGGGTTTAAGTGATTCTCCTGCCTCATCCTCAAGGAGCTGGAATTAACAGGCATGCGTCACCATGCCTAGCTAATTTTTTTTTAAATTATTTTTTGGTAGAGACGGGGTTTTGCCATGTTCTCCAGGCTAGTTTCAAACTCCTAGCCTCAAGCGATCCACCTGCCTCAGCCTCCCAAAGTGTTGGAATTACCGATGTAAGTGAGCTATCTGTCCCAGCCCTGAATTTTTGAGAAGTCGTCTTGCTCTGTTGCCCAAGCTGGAGTGCAATGGCTCGATCTTGGCTTACTGCAGTCTCCGCCTCCCCAAGTAGCTGGGATTACAGGCACCTGCCACCATGCCCAGCTAATTTTTGTATTTTTAGTAGAGAAGGGGTTTCGCTATGTTTGCCTAGCTGGCCCTGAACTCCTGATTTCAAAAGAGCCACCTGCCTCAGCCTCCCAAAGTGCTGGAATTACAGGCATAAGCCACTGCTCCCAGGACCTAAATTTTAATAATTACTAAGTTTCAGGCCAGGTGTGGTGCCTCATGGCTATAATCCCATCTCAAGAGGATCACTTGAGCCCAGGAGTTAAGAGACTAGCCTGGGCAACATAGCCAGACCCTATTTTTATAAAAAAAAGATTAAACAAAAATTAATTGGTCCTGGTGGCCCAGACCTGTGGTACTAGCTAGTACTGGTGCTGAGTAAGGCAGGAGGATCTTTTGAGCCCAGGAATAGTAGGATATGGTGAGCTGTGATCACGTCTCGGCACTCTAGACGGATGACACAAGCACTGTCTCAGAACACACAAACAGTAAATTTTATTCTATTTACTACCTTGTTTGAAGCAATATAAAAATCATAATGGTGAGCCCAATTGTTTGTCCCCCTCCCTTGTTTGTAGGTTTTCATAGTAGGTATAAAAAACAACTATTTTTTTAGTTTTTCTTCTAGTAGTAGTTCCTGCTTAGTCATTCTTTGACCACAAAATATGTTAGGAGGAAAAGGGTAGGATACAAGTCACTTTTGGTATAAGGAAAAAACAAATTCCGAAATTCCTGTCAGTTGAATTAATTTTTTCATCCTCCAACTAGGGGAAAAAAACTATGCTAGATGTACATCACTGGAAGGGGTAGAGTTGTATATATAGCTTGCTGATCATCCCTGAAATCTGTTCCCAGTGTACTAATGTGTATTGGTTAATTGGTTATCCATTAGATGAAGTAGAATCAGCCTTTGAGAATGTAGGTGTGTTTGAACTTGCATTTCCAAATCATGCAGTTTGTCAAACCGCTGAAGTACATGTATCATGAGATTGGGTTTGGTATTAGCACCATGACTGATCTAACTAGGTTACTAGTCTATAATACTAGTCTAGGTATATGTACAACCTCTTGGTAAAAGGCTTGAGTGCAGTTTGCCTGAGTTACAAAATTACTTAAAATTTTGTAAGTTTTATTTTTTCCTTTTCTTTTTTTTTTTTTTTTGGTTGGGGGAGACAAGATTCTCGTTTTGTCTCCCAGGCTGGAGTGCAGTGGTGTGATCTCAGCTTACTGCAACCTCTGTCTCCCAGGTTCAAGCAGTTCTGCGTGTCAGCCTCCTGTGTAGCTAGGACTACATGTGCATGCTACCACACCCAGCTAATTGTTATATTTTGGTAGAGATGGGGTTTTTACATGTTGGCCAGGCTGGTAATCAAACTCCTGGCCCCAAGTGATCCACCCACTTCCCAAAGTGTTGGGATTACAGGCATGATCCACCGCACCTGGCCAAATTTGTAAGTTATGTACATACATTGTTGTATTACAGTATTGTATACATTTCAAATAAATGAACATTTTAAACAGAGGAGTTAACATGAAGTGTTCCTATGCTCAGCACACACTCCATTGGCTTGCCCAATGTCCGCACTGCTCAGACTGCTGGCCCACAGGTCAAACCTGGCCGCATCCTGGGAACTCCAGCCCTGGAAAGGGAGGGAGCATCTTTGAGATAGCAGATGCAAGTTGTCTTCAGGGGCTTGGGATTACATCCTATCCTTTCCTGCATATGTGTTCTTTTAAATTTTGACTTCCCCCTCTGATGACCTCTTTGTCCCTCACAGCCTGCTGTGTCTGCCCCTGAGTACTTTCCCTTCCCATCTTGGCCACTGCCTCTTTCTCTTCCTGCATTTCCTTTTATCCTGTCAAATAGGTCTCTTCTTGCCCAAAGTATGTTTGAGTTTTCCTGTTTTCTTTATAAAAGTCCAGACCTCTGTATCAACCTTCACATGGCCTTCCTCAGTCTCCTTCAAGTCCCAGTTCAAACAATACCACCTTTTCAAGCCAGTCGGGGACTGCCCAGTGGCAGGCTGTCACTGCACTTGTTTTGTTCAGTGTCCTGTAATAATGGTTTTTTAATGGTTTTTCACGTGCTTCTTTCCTTACTCCGACTAGGTTGCAGTCTGCTTGAAGCTGAGTTAGAGTCTTCCATCTACCCTTCCCAATGAGTTATCCAGAGTAGGTATTGACTATATTGTGTTTTGTGTACTCCTAATGTGTAGTGGTAGTTGTACCCATTTTGGACCCTGAACATTTGAAAATCATGTGAAAGCTACTTTGCAAGAAAAGTTTGTACACATTTTTACACACAAATACCCAGGATAGCTTTGCTCAACAATTTTGGCTGTTTGTGTGCATCTCAAGATCCTTCAGCAAGTCCATGGAATTCAGATTAAAAACGCAGATCAAGAAAACTAGTGTGGGTCGGCCAGGCTTGGTGGCTCATGGCGTCATCCCAGCACTTCAGGAGGCGGAGGTGGGTAGATCACAAAGTCACGAGATTGAGGTGATCCTGGCCAACATGGCGAAACCCCGTCTCTGCTAAAAATACAAAAATTAGCTGGGTGTGGTGACACGTGCCTATAATCCCAGCTACTTGGGAGGCTGAGGCATGCAGGAGAATTGCTTGAACCAGGGAGTCTGAGGTTGTGCTGAGCCAAGATTGCGCCACTGCACTCCAGCCTGGCAACTGAGCGAGACTCCATCTCAAAAAACAAAACAAAACAAAAGTAGTGTGGGTTCTTAGCTATAATTAAAAATGAAATCTGTTCAGTTCTAATAACCTTATTTAACTACTTTTGTTCAGTTTTTCTTTAGGAAAAGTTAGCTGCAGTCAGTAACCACTGAGACTTCTTAGTGAGGAGTTTTATTATAGTAATATTTTTGGGTTTGGACTAAAAAAGAGAAATAAGACTAGCATTTTGTTGGGGCCTGGGTTTAGTGTGAATCGAGCATGTGCAGGCATTACTGTCCCTGGAACTGCACCTGCCAATAGAGCATAGATAAATTGCATTACAAGCTTCTTTCAAGGCATTAAACTTGACTTGTCACCAGATTTCCTAGTAATAATGAGTATAACCATTGATTATTTACTTAAAGTCTTTACATAGTGTCTTCCATTCTCCCAAACATTTTATTATGAAAATTTTCAAATTATAGAATAAAAGAGAAAAATACGGCACACCCATATCATACCTACCTGTATTATACCTGGAGTCTGTAAATTAACATTTTGGAACATCTGCCTGTCATGTATCTTCCATATCCGCCTTCCCCCAGAATCAAGAAATAAATTAATATGGGGAATTTGAATTTGGAAGGGCCTGATAGAGGATCAGGTCTTTCTTTAGCCATGGACCTTGGTTTAGACCGATAGCACGAAGCAGGGATTTCCGTGTAATTTTTTTAAAATTTATTTATTTATTTATTTATTTTTTCAGTAAAGACGAGGTCTCACTATGTTGTCCATGCTGGTCTTGAATTCCTGGGCTCAAATGATCCTCCCACCTCAGCCTCCTAAAGGGCTGGGATTGCAGGTGTGAGCCACCACACCTGGCATCCATGTACATTTTAAGAATTCTCTCTTCACCCATTTTTATAATGTCTTCCTCCTAGACTTGCCCTTTGTACTTTTGGCGTGATTAAATTAGCTGATCCACCAATACATGGTTTTTAGGTACTTTCTTTCTCAACTGTCACTTGAGATTTGTATTTAACACAGAAAAGCTGAACTCCCCTTACCAAGTAAGTCCTCCTCTCTACCTTCCTTTTGAACTCTTAATGAAACTTGACTCACACTTTACCTTTAAGATGTAACCAGTATATTTGCTGGGGGAAGTAGTTTTAGCGTTGATAGGTAGGAAAGCAGAAATAATTTTGCAGAAGGACTCTGATTTTGAACTTTGTGTGTATGGAATTGTCCTGATGGAGATTTTCATTTGGCTTCAGGGGACCTTGGGTGGCAAGGGGTTGTAAAGGACCAGAAACAAAACCTCATTGAGGACCCCAGTGTGAGGAGCCCAGACCTGCAAGGCTGTGACCTTCTGGTTGCTCCTGAGGAGCACAGCCTAAAGCCTTTGTTCCTTCTCGGTGCCCTCTTGATGCCTTGAGCAAACAGCCCGTCAGAGCTGCTTAGAAGTACGGTGGCCAGCCAGTGTATTGACACGCACAGACACAATAGAAAACTGCATTAGGAGGCAAGCCATTGGGATTTGCAGTAAATATATTACAGAACACAAGTGACTTGCCGATACTGCTTGTTTAGCAGTTTGCAAGGGCAATGGCAATATGGATTTTTGAATTAGAAGGGAAGGGCTGTTCTTTCTCTGTGTGGGAACATCTAGTTGATGGCTGGGGAGAAAATTGATTTAGAGAACAAAATGCAGCTGCTGTTATTTGTACCATTTGAAAGGCCTCTGTGGATTAGTGAGTGAAAATATAAAGGTTGCTTTCAGTTTAGGAAAGAGGGCCTGCATCATGGTCTGGTATGGAGAGAATAAAGGATGGATCATTGGATGGAGAAAGGGTAACCAGTCCCCATGCAGCCTGCAGCTACAGGTGCACACTCTGTTGTTACATAGTTGTCTTTCTCAGCTCTTTGGCTTTCAGAAGTCAGCTTTTTGGGTTTGTTATTACACAGTAAGCTTTTCCAGGACATTAAAATTGTCATAGCCCCCGTTCATGGAGCTCCCATGTGCCCTAGGAATTGTTCCTCCAGGAGCCTCCTGTCAACCTTCCCAGCCTCCCTTTGTGTAGATACTAATTATTCCACCTTGAAAGGGAAAACAGGCAAGTAGGATTAGGGGATGACAACAGCACCTACCCCATAGGTAGTTACCATATGCAGAAGCAGTTGTGTAGTTTCCTGGCCTGGGGGCACGCTGAGGGAAAGCGGTTATCTAAATAGCAATCCCTTTAAAACTCTACCCCTGCTGTTGGACTGTTAGGCCTTGCTTCATTTATACTTCCCTTTTAATTTTTTTGCAAACCCAGCTTTCTTCCTGCATCTGAACTGATTCACTTTTCATTGCCCATTACAGTGTTTTATCTTTTATTTCTTTCTAATATCATAAGTGTTTATCTTTAGGCTCAAAAGGAAAATGAAAAAAAAAAAGTTAAGGGCAGTCTGTATTGTCTAAGTAAAATGTCTGTCTTTGGCCAAACAGCAAAATGTGTCCATGGAAGGCAATAGCTTTAAGTGATTAATATAACAAGAACAACAGAGGATTTGGTTCATTCTATCAAAGTAAGTTTTGATAGCAGAATAAAGAGTGGGAGGTATTTTTCAGAGTTTTTCTTTCTAATGTAACATGGAAAACCCAGCTTTTAATTCAAAGAGAGAATTTGTCATTTTGAAAACAAGCAGGGTATAGAATTAGAAGGTCAAGTTGTTGCTTGGTTCCAGAAAGGAAAAATTTCATTTTGATGAGGACTACATACACCCGTGGGGAATGCGTGTGCATGTAGTTTTCTTCTTGTGTTTTGTAAAGTACTGTGCAAAAGTTTTGAGTAGAGTAGTCGTGATGCCGTCTTTCTCCATCTACTCCATGGGCTTGAGATTTTTGTTGACAGTCAGTGTTCACAGCTGCTGCTTTTAAGTGCTAATATTTGGGGAAGCAAAAAAAAAAAAAAAAAAAAAAAAATCTTACAAGGGAGAAAAGCAGAGCCATTGGGATCGGTCAGACTGGAAGTTTAGGCTGTTTACTCTTATTCCCAAACACAATGTGGTAGAAACTTCTTGTGTGTCTTTGTAAGTATTTGAGATAAAGCAGGACACAGTTAAGACAAATTATGCCAGTACCTGCTCTCAAACAAGCTCCAAAGTTGGCTGCCATGTGATCTGGGTGTGTTGAGAAGCTCCGCGTTTATGGCTCTTTCTTCTTAGCTTGAGAAGTGGCCCTGACATCCTGAGGATCTGTAGGGAAAGCACTAGGTTCTTGACAACCCCCTAGCCTGCCAGTTGGCCTGAGTCCCAGAACCTTTTCCATTTGTAAGTGGGCTGGCTCTTTCACAGTGCCTGGGCCATGAGCTCCCTCAGAGCCAACGTCTCTACACAGCTACTGAGGAGATTGCAATTGGACCATTGAAATGTATCCAACTTCTGTACTTTTTAGCTGATCAAAGGCCAAAATCATACCACTAACTTAGGAGGGGAACTGCTGACGTTTGAATCTTATGAGAAATCTGTATTTTATAATTGACTACCCTAGATGCCATGATATTTATGAATTAAATGGAGTATAAGGAGGTTTCAAATACTGACTGTGGATTTTGCTGATTATATAGAGTTTTTTTCATTTTTCTTAAATAGAGACAAGGTTTTGCCGTGTTGTCTAGGCTGGTCTCAAACTCCAGGGCTCAAGCAGTCCTCCCACTTCAGCCTTCCAAAATGCTGGGATTACAGGCGTTGACCACCATGCCCAGCCTAATACATAGGTTTTGAACTGGTTGTTAAATCTTTATTCATCCTTATTTCTTTTTTGTTTTGAGACAGAGTCTCACTCTGTTGCCCAGGCTGGAGTACCGTGGCATGATCGCAGCTCACTGCAATTGTTGCCTCCCAGGTTCAAGCTGTTCTCCTGCCTCAGCCTCCTGAGTAGCTGGGATTACAGGTGCTCGACACCATACCCAGCTAATTTTTGTATTTTTAGTGGTGATGGGGTTTTGCTATGTTGGACAGGCTGGTCTTGAACACCGACCTCAGGTGATCCATCTGCCTTGGCCTCCCAAAGTGCTGGGATTACAGGCGTGAGCCACTGCGCCTGGCCCATCCTTATTTCTTAACTAATTTATTAAGTATGGCTTACCTACTGAAAGGGCCCCAGAAAGATCAATGTCAGTGCATCACTGCAGTCTTATGCAGCCACTGTTTGGGTTATTATTTTATTTCAAAATCAAATACCCAAAAAAAGCTGTATTTTTAAAAAAAATTTTTAAATTATTATTTTTTTTTCTGATTAGCTTCTGGAACTCTCAAAGTGCCGAAATTGCTCAGAGTTAATAAGGAATGAGTAACAATTCTTGCTTCTCAAATTAAAGCAATATAAAAGGGAAGGAGTGGTGGGGTGTGGTGTGGTTCATGCTTATAATCCCAGCACTGAGGTGGAAAGATCATGAGGTCAGGAGTTTGAGACTAGCTTGGCCAAGATGGTGAAACCCCGTCTCTACTAAAAATACAAAAATTAGGCAGGTGTGGTGGTGCGTACCTGTAGTCTCAGCTACTTGGGAGGTTGAGGGAGAAGAATCTCTTGATCCCAGGAAGCAGAGGTTGCCATGAGCTGAGATTGCGACAGAGCGAAACCCCATCTCAAAAAAAAAGGTGGGGGAAGGGGCTTTTTAGTAGACTTTGCATTGTGAGAATATTGGTATTGACACCATTTATAATTTGGAGTGTAGTTTGAAGACCAGATTCTACTGTTTGTCGCATACTGGTTAATATGGCTGTAAAGAGGAGATGAATGTGGCTACTTTTCCAAGTCTATTACTCAGGAGGACTGTAAATTTGATTGGCTGTTACAATTCTAGCAGAATCATTCGATTTGAGAGCAATAGAAAGATAAGATATCCAATTACCCAAATAATTTGCAGGGTTGGCCAGCGTTGTCATGGAGACATGAGTTGGAACAAATTAAATTTTAAGCAATAAAATAATCTTAAAGCCCGTCTGGGAACAGGAAAATTTGGCAATGGCACTTACCTGAATTGAATCTTAGCTTGACACGATGTTGTTTGACATTGATATACTGTGGGGGCCTAAACTTATATGTGGCCCAACGTTATCTTTAAAAGGTAGCTCGGTCAAACCAGCAAAGGGGAGTATTGGTATAAAGTCAGGGGGGATGTTAACATTTATTTATTCTGTGGCTTAAATGATGATTAGACTCTGGGTTCCTAAGAATATTTTATATCTAAGGATTGAAATGCCTTAATAATGATTAAGCAGCTTTAATTGGACACTTGGGGGGAAAAAAGATTTATTTAGCAGCAACACGCAGTTTTTGGAACTGCTGTTCCTTTGTGTGTGCATGTCTTTTGGTGGGGGGGTGGAGGTGTAAGCATGCATATATTTGCATGTACAAGTAAGGAGATTTTGGCACATGCCCTACACTGCAGATGATTCTCTGTATTAGTTAAAATTTCTACTTTGCAGTACCGCTTGCAGACTGGAAAATTGCGTTCCAAACTTCAGCTGATGATCTAAAACCTGAATAAGCATTAGTCTGTGGCGTACAAGGTTATTTCCCCTCATTAATATATTGTTTAACTGGTTCCTGGCTTGTGCCATGGATTTGAAAACAGCCGAGTGGCCCAGAAGGAGGGAGGGCTTTTTATCCACATGTCTATTAGACAGATGGAGATAAAAATTGGTCTGAGGTCAAGCCATTTGCAGCGTTCTCACAGCCTTCGATTTTCCTCTCATCCTCACCACAGATCATCTCAAATGATTCAGTAATGACCAAAAGTGCAACATTGACCTTTATTCCCTGGTGGATTACTGTGTTTCACAGTCCAAATGGCAGGAAGTCTATTCTGTTCTTCCAGAAGGAGTGCAGTATTATTGAGCTGGCCCAGCCCTGTGGGAACCACACAATTCCAGACCAGTGTAACAGAATACGTGGGTTAAATTTGGTTTCTGGTGCTCTGGGAAATGAGAATTGACATGTCCTGGAACCCACATAATTAATGGAAGAATATCTGGGATGTTTTCTAAAAACACACACGAGCACATAAATTGATTTGTCCACTTGTAAAATAATTTGTGAATTACAGGAGTGGTAACTTCTGGTGGCCCCTGGTTTATAAATCGTTGTTGCTTCTGTTATCTTCAAATTCCTCTCTCATCCTTATTTGATGCGTCCTTAGTATATCTTAGATGATACTGTAAGGCTTTATAATTTTAAAATTATAAATTGACATGACTGAGCATAAGGGGATGCAGGCCTTTTTCTTTGGCATACTTTTAATTATGTATATTTTTGGTCAGTCCCTGTAACCCTGAATAGATTGTCTCATACGACACTTTTTTTTTCCCCATCCTGAAAGTAGGTTGATTGTTATCTTGGAGGAATGGTGATTATTTTTCTCTTACTTAACATTCCTCTGTGGATTGTATAATGATGCAGTGATGGTTTTTTTTTTTTTTTTTTTTGGTAAAGTAATTTGTGTTTAAAATGTTATTCCTGTTTGCCTCCACATGCATGCCTGACTCAATATTCTGTGAACCCATATACCATGGCACCTGTCATGTAGGATCCTTTTGCTTACTC